TTGGGCAGGGAGGGCAGCGCCCTGGGGAGGAATCCTTGGCCGTGAAGAGCTCCCCTGCCGTGTCCATCTCATCCGTGTTCCCATATCCCATTGTCCTGCTTGTGGAAGCAGGGAATGCCGGGCAGGGTGTCCATGTGCATGGAGCCATTTCCAGCAGGGAATGCCGGGCAGGGTGTCCATGTCCATATCCAGCCATTCCCAGCAGGGAATGCCGGGCAGGGTGTCCATGTGCATGGAGCCATTCCCAGCAGGGAATGCCGGGCAGGGTGTCCATGTCCATATCCAGCCATTCCCAGCAGGGAATTGTGGGCAGGGTGTCCATGTCCAGCCATTCCCAGCAGGGAATGCCGGGCAGGGTGTCCATGTCCATCCATATCCAGCCATTCCCAGCAGGGAATGCCGGGCAGGGTGTCCATGTCCATGTCCAGCCATTCCCAGCAGGGAATGCCAGCTCCCTTGCTGGGCTGTGCTGTGTGTCTGTAACGTGAGTGGCTGAGGCCTGATCCTGCCTGGTTTAGCAAATCCCTGTTTTATCCCCCGCCTCCCATCCCCAGTGCACAACCGCGGGTGGATCCCCAAAACAGAGGAGCAGGGATGGGGTGATGCTGCCACGAGGATCCCAGAAGGGCATTTAGGGTTAGGATCTCCCTTCCCTGGCTGCAAAACGCTTGGCTGATGGATCTCTGGTGGTTCTGGGGATGTTGGTGTTTGATGGCTCAGTGTGCCCTGAAATCCCGATCTGTGTGCCCTGAAATCCTGATCTGTGCCCTGAAATCCTGATCTGTGCCCTGAAATCCCGATCTGTGTGCCCTGAAATCCCGATCTGTGTGCCCTGAAATCCCGATCTGTGTGCCCTGAAATCCCGATCTGTGTGCCCTGAAATCCCGATCTGTGCCCTGAAATCCTGATGTGTGCCCTGAAATCCCGATCTGTGTGCCCTGAAATCCCAGTCTCTTCCTGCTTGTGGCTGGAATACATTCCCTGTGGCTGGAATACTCTCCCCGTGTGCATCCTGTGCTGCATGTCCACACTCCAGCATGTCTAAATATATATATTTATTACCTGAGCGTTTATAAATATATATAGAGAGCGAGTGGGGCGTGCCAGGGTGCTGAGTGCACACCTTTGACATCTGCTGATAATTCCGAGTTGCTGATGAGGACGTGATGCTGTTTAGAGGACAAAAAAAGGCCGTAAATTCGGGGGGAATTTGGGATTCTCGGCTGGCTCGCGGTGCACGCTCCCTCCTCCAGCCTTTGGATCCCGCGGGATTCATTCCATGTCTCACCTGGCTGTGGTGGTGGAAACCTTCTTGCCCATGAATTATATAAATCTAAATAGGAAAAGGTGATTTTAGAGCCTCTCCCGTAGAAGTAGAGCCCGTAGAGAGTAGCGCAGCCCTCTCTTAATGCTCGGTGTAAAATAAACCTCCTCTGACCACAGGAGGGGACCAGGCAGCAGCAGAGCCCAAACGGGACAAACTCCCGTCCATCAATGACTTGGACAGCATTTTTGGCCCCGTGCCGTCCCCCAAATCTGCTGCTGCCACCGCAGAAGACAAGTGGGTCAATTTTTCCGATCAATCCCCGGAAAACGCTCCTCCGGAATTGTCGCCCCGGGAAAAAGCTCCGTCTCCTCCGGCGGCCGCGGGCAGCCCGGCCGAGCATCCCCGCCCGCTGCCCTCGCCGCTGCAGCTGGAAGAAGCTCCCAAGAAGCTTTCCGAGCAGCCCCATCTTAAGGATGATTCCGCCGAGCCCGTCGCCTCTCCTAAAGANCGGGAAGCACCAGCGGTACGTGCTGTGAGCTCGGGTGTGCTTCGCTGTGGCCGTGGTGTGTCCCAGCCAGCCGTGCCGCGCTTCCAGCCTGTGTCCTGCGTCCTTCCCTGCGCTCCCGTGCGGCTCAGAGGTTCCCCCAAAGCTCCCCGGAGCCGCCCATTCTCCCACCCCAAAATCTGGCGCGGGGTTGTTGTTGTTGCTGTCGTTGTTGTGTTCTCCGTGGGAATGGAAATGTTCCAGGAGAATCGTCTGGGTGAGCCTCAGGTGCAGGGTTTGGGATTTTGGGGTGTTTTTTTTTAAGCGCATCCTCTCATCCCGGTAATTCACGGGTGTGAACGGCGCTCGGTTCCTGCTGGGATGGGGGGATGCGCTCCGGGGTGAACCTCTCCCGCGGGAGAAGCTCTGCCTGCCTTCACCTGCTTAATTATAACGGCTCATTAGGACAAACGAGCTGGGGGAGGCTGAGTTTACTCACAGGAGCTGCAGCCTGAGCTTGTTCTTTCAGGGCCTGACCCTGGCTCAGCCCCTGTGCTCCCACCCAAGGTGGCTTTTTGTGGGAATCACCCCACGGAGCCTCGAGGAACCCGCACTGGTGGTGGGGTGGGGTGGGGTGTGCAGCCCCCCAGCTCCGTATCCGAGTCCTGTCACCCTCCTCGTGGGAGCCTGGAATTTGTGTCCCTTTCCTGGGGGTTTTGTCACTTCCAGGAGCGTCCCCTGAGTGTGGCTGGTGCTGCAAGTGTGGCTTTGCTTCAGTGCTGGTGGCTTTTCTGTGCTGGCTCGGGGGGTGGGTGGGGTCCCTGTGGGGGCTGCAGGGTCCAGCCTGAGCTGGAACTTCTCCAGGAGCTCCCAGGAGCGGGAAACGCCGGGATTCATCCGGGCTCTCCCAGCCCGTTCCCTACTGAGCACAGGATGGAGAAGCACCAGGGGCTCCCCACGTGGGGATGGATGGATGGAATCCATGGATGGATGGATGATGGATGGATGGATGGAATCCATGGATGGATGGATGGATGGATGGATGATGGATGATGGATGGAATCCATGGATGGATGGATGATGGATGGATGGATGGATGATGGATGGATGATGGATGGATGATGGATGGATGGATGATGGATGGATGGATGATGGACGGATGGATGATGGATGGAATCCATGGATGGAATCCATGATGGATGGATGATGGATGGAATCCATGGATGGATGGATGGATGATGGACGGATGGATGATGGATGGAATCCATGGATGGAATCCATGGATGGATGGATGGAGCAGCCCCGCTCAGCCTGTCCCAGAGGATGCACATCCCTTCTCCAGGAATTATCTCCTGTCTCAGTCTGGACTGCTTTGCCTCCCTCTGCACCTCGGTGTTCCCAGGGCTGGGAATCCAAAGTGTGGCCACAGCCGCACAAAAAGGGTGCAAACCCTCCAAAAGCTGCGTCAGATCCAGCACCTGCCCCGCTCCTCCTGCCTTCCCAAGGCTCAATTTTGGGTGCTGTGGAGCAGAACTCCCCCAGGATCTCCCCCTGCCCTCAGCTCCCCTGGCTGGCACCGGGGCAGGCTCATGCTGGAAGGGTTGGGTTGGAAGGGATCCCAAAGCTCGTCTTGTTCCAACCCCCTTCCACCTCCCCTCGTTGCTCCGAGGCCAGCATTCCAGCAGATTTCACATTCCATGCTGGTTTCCACATGCTGTCAGCTTCTGGTGCAGGAAATACCCATCCCCTGGGTGGAAGCCACAATCTGCCCGGGGCTTTGGCCACAGAACTCACCTGGGGAGGCTCCATCCTGTGACACTGAGTCCTGCAAGGTCACTTTTCCCTCAGTCTTTCCCATTTTGAAAGGCTTTCATTGGGGTAAGGAAGGAAAAATTCAAACGTTGGATCCCAAATTAGGCCTTGAAATAAAAGCAGCTTGAATTTTGGAGTTGTGCAAAGGAATGACTGGAATTTACTCCCTTTAATCCAGGCCCTCTCTTGTCTGAGCCTGCTCTCCTTCACCTCTTCTTGTTTCTATAAACCCAGCTTTGATCTCTAGCTCATATTAAGCAATCACCCAAAAAATATAGGAAATTATTCTCTTGGAAGTGGGAAAGCGATGAAGTCGTCACCTCATCAGTCTGAGCCAAGCACAGAGCTGCTGCACTCCAGGGAAGCTGTCCTGGGCCAGCTGTCCTGGGAACGAGCTGGGATCTCCCTCCCGTCCCTGCTGCCCTTCACATCCTGGTGCTCCAGCTGGGCTCTCCTGGAAGGAATTCCCGCGTGTGGAGCGGAGCAGGCTCCTGGAACCCCCATGAAGCTCCTGTTGCCTTTTCCATTTGATCCCAGGAATTCCCTTTGCAGCAGGGCCAGGGCCCGTGTGAGCCCTGGGATCAGCTCCCCTTCCTTGGGAGACTCTTCCAGAGGCTTGGGAGCTGTGCTGTGCTCCCAGAAATCCCAGAACCTTCCTCTCCCTTCTTTGCTGGGCCAAAGCTTTGCCCTGTGATGAGAATCCCTAATTCCCAGCAGGTTCATCCATCACCCTATCCCTCCTGCCCCTATTCTTTGGGGAAAGCCGTAAAACTCCTTCCGTGCCGACTTTCCGGAGGGAACCGGGCACTGAGCAGCCCCCGCCAGGAATCCACGGGCATCGACCGTTCTGGAACGTTCTGTGCCCATCTCTGGGGGTGCTCTGGGGCGGGCAGCAGTGGGGCAGAGCCTGTGGGGTGCTCACAGCTCCCGTTTGTTGCAGGTTCCTCGTCCCCGGCTCGTCCCGGAACGCCGCTGGCCACGTGTGGCACCCCACCACCGCCACCGCCCCGACCCCCGTCCCGGCCCAAGCTGCCCCCTGGCAAACCCCCCGTCAGCGATGTGGTACGTGGGGAGGGGCGGGGGGCATTCCCAGGCTGGAATCCCGGGATGGGATGGGCTTTTCCAGGGTTTGTCCAGGGGGGGGGAATTCCCCGAGGGAAGGGCAGTGCCAGCCCGGTGGTGCCAGCCACCACGGGCCAGGGTCACGGCAGGGGATGGGATGGGATGGGAATGTGCCCCAGGGAAGGGTTGGGGGGCAGTTCCAGATGTCCCAGGAGCGGTGCCTGGCTCAGGGGGTGCCCAGCCCCTGTCCCGTGTGCCACCCCAGCTGTCTCAGGTAAGGTGGGAGGGTTTTAGGGTTGATAATGAGGGTACAAAATGATAAAATGACTTATTATTAGACAAATTCTGTTGGATTCTGTTGAGTAAATGACCCCAGAATGATCCCTAAGGGCCTGGGGAGCTGGCACCTGCTGGGCACCGCTCCCTTCCCCGTGCCCAGCCCGTTCCATCCACCCCACGGCCCCCGGAGCTCCCATCCCCGGTGTGGATGGCTGGGAATTTCACCCCATGCTGGGGATCACCTCATTTCCCAGCTCCAAGCTCAAATGCCATCAGCATCTTGTCATTCACCCAATGACAGTTCAAATCACTCCCATTTTTCCTCTGGGACACCAGCAGAGCCATCGGGAGGGCCCAGGCAAAATTGTATTTGTTTGAATCGAACATTTCTGCGCGGATTTCCCTTTAACTTTGTGTTCTTTTATGTTTCTCTCCAGTCCAGGCCTTTTAGCCCTCCCATCCACTCCTCCAGCCCTCCTCCGATAGCACCTTTAGCCCGTGCTGAAAGTACTTCTTCCATCTCTTCCACCAATTCCCTGAGCGCAGCCACCACTCCCACCGTCGGTAAACACACACAGCGCCGCTGTTCTCTCACCTTTCCTGCGCCCTCGGGTCATTCCTGAGGCCTTTGCACTCCCTAGGTCCTTCTCTGGGGTCGGACTCGTTTGTTTTCATCGGGGTTTTAGATGCCAAAAGGGATTCCAGGGGGATCAGCTGCCAGGGAAGTTTGTCCAAATGTTGTGGGAAATGGGTGTTTGGTGAAAGTCAGGGGAGTTATGATATAAAATGTGGTTCTGGGCTGTAAATTGGGGCAAAATAAGCTTTTTTTTTTTGGCAGGGGATGCTTGTGCCTGGAGGGGAGCGGGGCTGGAAGCCAGACCTGGGGGTGCAGGAATATTGAATCTCTTGGAATGTCTTAAATTCCCACTTAGAGCAGTAAGAGGAAAAGGGGTCTCGGAAAAGCCTTTTCCCAGCAGCTTGGCACGTCCTAGGGCAGAACCAAACACCGCCCTTTCCTTTTGGAGGCACATCCCGACAAAAAGCGGGGTTTCCCAAAACCCCGGGGCTGAGACAAGGAACGGGAATCGAGTCTGGCTGGCAGCTCCCAGCTCCAGGCGCTGGGTCCCCCCACGCCTCCCTCCTCCCTCCCCTCTGTCCCCTCCTGTCCCCTCTGTCCCTGCTGCCAGCGCTCCCCCTTCCTCCTCCTCCTCCTCCTCCATCCCTGCCAGCCCTGGCTGCCGTCCCCCCGCTTCCCGCAGCTCCATCTCCTCCCAGGATCACCTCCCTCCTCTGTCTTTTCTTCCCAAGCCTCTGGAAAAGCCAGCCTGGCGGGAGCTCCCGTGCGCTCGGCCGCCGCGCTGGCCGCAGCGCTTGTCGCTGCTGTCACCCTGGGGAGCGGTGGCACTGCCACCCAGGAAGGTGACACCGCTGTCCCCGCGCTGCCGGTGGCCCCGAGCCCTCCCAGTGGCTTTGCTGGAGTCTCCGAGCGCGTCTCCATCCTGTTGTTGCTTCACTCTCAGGTGTTGTGGGTGCTCGTCCCTGTTCCGGCTGTCACTGTCACAGCACCTCGCTGGGGAAATGTCACCTGGCCAGGGAACTGGGAAATGTCACCTGGACAGGGAACTGGTGAAATGTCACCTGGACAGAAAAGTCACCTGGACAGGGAGCCGGGAAATTGTCACCTGGACAGGGGACTGGTGAAATGTCACCTGGACAGAAATGTCACCTGGACAGAAATGTCACCTGGACAGGGAGCTGGGAAATGTCACCTGGACAGAAATGTCACCTGCACAGCGAGCCCTGTGCTGCAGGCACCACTGGTGGCACCGCTGGTGGCACCACTGGTGGCCCTGAGCGGTGCCTGAGGGCACGGTGGCCACAGGGACAAGGTTTTAGGGGAGGGGACAGCCAGGCTGAGGCCAGAGCCAGTGCCAGGGGCTGCGGGAGGCTGGGAGGGTGACGGGAGCGAGCTGAGGGCTGCTCCTGCCACCCGAGCCCAGCCTCTCCCTTTGGATTTCTTTTTTTTCCTCTCATGTGTTTTTGGGAACAAAAGCTGCTGTTGGGTGATTTAATGAGCTCCCCGTGCTGAGCAGAGGGGCAGAAGTTGGGGTCCCACACCCTCCGTGGAGGTTTCCTGGGAGGAGAGCCAAAATCCGGGCTCTGGGGTCACCCCTGACTGGGGAACTCCAAAGGGGGCAGCCAGGAGGAGCATCCCAGGTTTTGTAGTGTTGCACTTCCAGCTCCGTGCACAGGTCATGCTGAGTGGGAAGGGATCTATGGGATCATGGATCCAACTCCTGCCCTGCACAGACCCCCCAACATTCCCACCCTGCGCATCCCTGGGAACGGTGTCCAAACGCTCCTGGAGCTGCTGCGGCAGCCTCGGGGCCGGGACCATTCCCTGGGGATGTGGGCAGTGTCAGCCCCCTCTGGATGAGGAACTTTTCCTGCTGGAATCCAACCTAAACCCTGGGAAAAGCTGTTTGGGGCAGAGGCAGAGAAAGGCAGGGGTTGGGATCTGCGTTGTCCCCAGCCAGGGTGAGCATCCAGGGAAATCCACAGCAGAGGAGGGAGAACTTGCAATTCCCAAAAGAGGAGGAGCTGGGGGGGGAGGCGTGCAGGGATGGGATCAGGGACAGCTGCAGGTCCCGGGGGGCTGGGACACCCCGATCCAGCCGGGGCTGGAGTCTGTCCCCACCTCATTCCCCGTCTCCCGTTCCCTGCGGCAAAGTCTGATGGAGTTTGTCCGGGAGCGCGGGGGGGATGCTCCATCTCCGTGTCCTCCGTGCTGTTCTGGTGTGCTTTCCTCGTTGGCTGCATGTCAGTCTGGACAATTCCTGGCAGAGCAAGGAGCTGTTTGATTCCCGTGTCGGTGCCTTTTCCGTCATTTCTCTGTCTCTGCGTTGACACGAGTGCGCTGCTTGGTTTCACTTGGGATCCGTGTTTTCATTCTTTTTGTGTTCTTTTTTTTTTTTTTTTTTTTT